CTTTGGAGGCTGCCTTGGAACTAGCTCTTGTAGACCAGGCTGGTCTCGAACTCACAGAGATCCACCTGCCTCTGCCTCCAGAGTGCTGGGATTAAAGTCGTGCGCCACCACCGCTCAGCTAGAAGGGAATCTTTTAATTTTAGGAATTACTTGGCTTAAAACAACAACAGCAATGCAAAGGGATCTATTCCAATGTTCCTTCTTTTTGTCTGACCCAGGAGTCACTAGTCCCCCTGCACTAACAGACTGAATGAGGCAGATAATTCAATCACGTGCACCTTTGGATGACCCACATGATCATGGTAGAATTCCCAACAACTGGAAGATGTCTCTACAAATTCCCAACCAGGAAGCCAACAACCTATCAGTTCACAAAGTTTGATAAAAATACAAATTATAAAATCTGCTAAGATGAACTGGAACTAATAAAAAACACTGTGGAAAATAGAAACAGTAATAAAAAAATCAGGGAGTACATGGAAAGTGTATGCTTTAGTCATTTTTTTCTGCAAAGCTAAATTATATAAAAATAATGTATACATTAAAAGAAACATGAGAAAAGTTAGGTACTCAGAACAACATGGAAGAAAGAACTATAGTCTTTTTCTTAACTTCATGACCTCACTAACATGAAACTGTTATTAACCAGTTCAGCCTGGGAGATCAAGTCTGTCTAGAATGTGTATCATTCATCAGACAATCAAATAATATCAGTATATCTCTTGCATTGCTGTTTTAGCCACTGATTTAAATATCCTTCAGATTGCTACGTGGCTACATGATCAAATACTTACATATTTTCTCCCTAAATAAAATATAAGCAATTTTAGAACACAGCCAGCAGACAGCACAATGCCTTTAACGTAACAGTAAAGGTATTATCTTGCTAATTGCAATTTATAAGTGCCTGTGGTGGTTTGAAAGAAAATGGCTCCCAAAGGGACTGGCACTATTAGGGGTGTGGCCTTGTTGGGGTAGGTATGGTCTTGCTGGAGGCAAGTGTGTCACTGTGGAGGTAGGCTTTGAGATCTCATATATGCTCAAGATTCCTCCTAATATTTTAGTCTACTTCCTGTTAACCATTTGATCAAGATGCAGCCAGCACCATTATCTGCCTGCATGCTGTCAAGCTCCCTGCCATGGGGATAATGGACTGAACCTCTGAATTGTATGCTGCCATCTCAATTCAGTGTCTTTCTTTACAAGAGTTGCCATGTCATGTGTCTCTTCACAACAATAGAAACCCTAACTGAGAAAGTGTCAAAACTCCAAGTGTTCAATGTTTGCTGTTTAACTGCAAAAGGGATGAGAATATAATACCAACCACTTACACAGTGGCCTCTGAAAGCTGCACTACAAAGGGCTTTCCTCCCTCTGTATTTCATACATGCTCTATGTGGCGGGCTCTAAGATTTTTTTTTTTTCTAACTTGGGTTCTCCACTTAAAAAGACAACATTTTTGTAGAATACTATAGGGAAACAGAGGATGCCAGAATGTTGATGAACATAGTGAGTGGAAATGGGTGCAATTCCTTTACTTTGGTCCCCAATTCTCATGGTTAGTGGCTTCCTGTAACAAAACGACTAAAACAGAAGACTATCTATTTTTATGCAAAAACTCAAAGACCAGATATGGCCAATGAAGGTGACCAATACTAACATCCATCAACATCATTAATGCTGTACTGTTGGTACCTCATCTGCCCTTCTACCCGTAAGTTTGCTGGTCATAATAGCAGGCAGCAGGGGCTATTGAACTGAAGTTTTGTTGTTTTCCCTGGGAAATGGTTAATTCACAAAGAGATAAAAGAGGTCATGCCAACATTCCCTCCTTTATTGGTAACCAGTTTAAATTTCTGGGCATCCCATATCCTGGCTTTAGAATATTAGATGCAGTAGCAAGGCCTTTTAAGGTGGCACACATCTTTAATCCCAGCACTCAGGTGGCAAAGGCAGGCTGGTCTCTGAATTCAAGCAGAGCAAGTTCCAGGACAGTCAGGGCTACACTGAGAAACTCTATCTTCAAAAAAAAAATAAATAAATAAACAAATTAATCAATGTGATCTTTGACAATGCATCAAGCATTTCGGTTCTGGGGGCTCACCCATTACTTCACTATGTCCTATTTTCTTTTGACCAGTTTTAGGGGTTCAAATATAACTTATCAATGGTTGCCATGCCCTGCTGTACAGCATATCTTCCTGCCTATTAGAAGCATTAGATATGCTTCTGTCTAGCCTTTATCAACAAATAAATAGGCCAACTGGGAAAAAAGCCAAAGCCTTCTGTTGGAAAACTTTCAAGGGAGATAAGCTCTCTAGTTCTGCATTTAATTAAGTATGTTTGAGTAATATAAATAATAAACTAAGAGCAAAAGTCACCAAAGGGCTATTATATTATTAGATTTGTGGCATCCTTCAAAAACCAGGAGAGTTGGGTTTACTGCAGCCGCAGCCCATCAGATTCCTTCTATTTTCAACCTTCCTCATCTCTTAACATAGCCCCCACTCTTAAATCACTACATACTCCATTTTCTTGGCTTCCCCAGCATCCTCTCACTGTTACCATGCTTCTCAAAACACTTGACTGCTGCCTAAATTCTTCTGTACCTAGATGTGAAAGACCAAGATGCATGCATGAATCCTCTCTTAAAAACACAAATGAAACAGAAATCCCTAAGGATCTGAGTCCTCACAACTGTTGGGGCCCATAAAAATGGCTCCCCTTCATCTTGACTTAAGGTCAGAGAGTTTAAAACTATCCTTACTCTTGCAAAGTTAAAATCATTAGACCTAAAAAAGGTCTAAGGCATGGCTACTGAAGGATGTTTGGTCTGAGGTGTGGTGTCTTACCTAAATAACAAGAGACTTGGTTCTAAGGTGTGGTTACTCTTAACCCACAAGGCCAGACAACAAGAGATTTAATCTAAGGTGTGGTTACTGAATGTTTGGGGAATTAAGGAAGTAAGTCTGTTTGTTCCTTGTATCATGGTAAAGAAGTCCTTTGACTTTCCTCCCTTTTTGGTTTGGGTATATTAGAATGTTGAAGAATAAAATTGGGGCATTCAGTTCAGTATTCACTGGATTGCCCTCCTGACTCTTGTGTGTCTCCGTCTTTTCCTTAGTATCTTTAATTTCTCAATCTACACTCCCCCTCTCTGGTATGAACTAGGCAAGTCAGCTGAATCCGCCTGAAGCCCCCCCAAAGACAGGTTCCTACACACAACGTTTTCAAAGTCCGTAGAGGCCAACCTAAAAAAGACAGCACCTCAATTCTAACCGGTCATTTGCACCCTTCAGTAGATAGTTCTGAAACACTGCCATGTGTGCACAGCTGCCTTCTGCAAGAAGTTATCCTTTCTCTCTGGTCTCAAGTCAGCCTTTTGTTAACTTCTGTAACACTTTCCTTTCTCAGACTAAGATCCTTTCTCAATGATCTGAACCTTACAGCTGTTCTCCATTCATCTAACTCCGTCATTAGCATTTCCTAAACCGACTTGGGTCTCAAACTCCTGCTTGATAGTGATTTTATAACTATCACTAACAACAGTTCCCCAGTCATATTCTGACAGACATCTAAGGCAAATACTGGAAAACTTTGTTTTAGAATCACTTGAAAAAGTTAATAGATAAATTGTTGGACTAAAGAGTATGCAATTCTTAGAAGTTCCCAGACAATATTTATCCTGCTGGTCCAAATATCTTATCTAGGAACCACTTACTGCCTTTGTGAATCTGATGAAGGGAGGCTATGAAGAAATGCACCGTATGTATACAATTCTGATGTATATTCAAAGGTTCTTGGAGTTTCGTTCACTCATAACTACTCTCCCTTCTGTATTTCATTCTAAGGACTGTTTCTTATATTTTTGGTTGTAAGCCTACCTTTAACAGCTGAGCCCAGGACTGTTTCTTTAAGATGTCTCCTGATTTAGTATCAGGAAGCACTCAGTAGAGCATAATGAAACCCAATATAAACACCCAAGAATGAGGGAGGACTGCTTGACAGTGGGAGTCAATTCTGTCCAATGTGCTGTCCTCTTCAGTGTTGGGGTCTCTTACACGGGTGTGTGGTACTTTTATATACACCTGACTTAATTCTTAGAAACAGAAACTCATCATTTAGCTTTAGAAGGCTCTTCAGTGGCTCAAACCAAACCTCTCAGGTGAAGACATGGTCTGTTAGAAAGAGCATGAATGTAAGTGACACCTTCAATTGCCAGTAACAGAACAGGACTGAAACCCTGACGTCTGTCCTAAAGGATGACTACCAGGGGTCTCACAGACACACCACTCCTCTTCCAGACCAAGGCCATGTGAACCCACAATAAGAGAGAAAACAGTTCTCTACTTAGAAGAATTCCAATGGCAGACAGAATAAATGTTAAAATATGAAAATGAATGTGGAGCTTAAGAATTTGCAAAATGCCTTCAAGTCACACATTTTGTTATTTATGAACTGTAACTCGTCAGCATATCATTATTCACTGTAGTTCCTTATATGTACTCAATAGTCAATTAGTCAATTTAACTCAGTATCAACTCCATAAAAAACAGCCATATTCTTTCATTCTCTTCTCTACATCCTCCTACAGTTTAACATTCCAAAATTCACTAAAAAATAAAAATGAAAAAGTTGTAAATTATTTCCTTCCCCCCCCCAATGGCTATGTAAAAATACAAGTTGTCAACACAGAAAAACATTTTTGAAGTTTCCTCTCTATTTCCTCAATGAGCAGTCAGAATCCATTAAATTCATACTTAATCTATAACACCTCTTAGAACTTAGCAATTACAGATATAGCAGGATTATGTATGTTTTAACTTTTTCATATCTATCAGATATTTTCTCAATGTATGATACTATCAAGCTATTACAAGAACTTAAATTGAATGTGAGAAAATGAACGAATGCATACAATGTCTATCAGAAATACTTCAAATTCTAGATTCCTAAGTTTATAAACTGCCTAAATATCAAGTAATTCCAACTGAGCATACCTCTTGTAGAAGACGTGGATCTACACAGTCACCATCATCATTAAACATAGATTCCCAGCTTTCCTCCACAGCAATACTTCCTTCTATGTGAGAAGTGTCTGTTGTTTTTAGCTCTACGGATGTTTCCACAGATGGATCTCTATCAGAAAATGATACGCCACACACTACATTCTCTGAGTCATCTTCCTCCTTTGTTTTAAACTCTTCAGCAGCAGTTCTTAGTTCGTGCAATGCCTCTGTTATCTCCTCAGTACTATTCAGATCACTGCCCAAGGCGCTCTCCAAAAGGACTTCTGTCCCATTAGACACTCTCAGTTCAGAGTCCAAACAAGTGGTACAATTACTGTCAGCAATCTTCTTTATGGGGAAAGAGGAAGCACATCCTGACACACACTCTATCAACTTTCCTGTTGACTCTGTAAAACTAGAAGCAATACTCTCAGCATGAATATCTGGGCAAGTGGTTAGGCTGCTAACATTTTCAGAGCCATTCTCACTTTCAGCTGCATTGAGGAGGGCTACGTCTGCACTCATCTCTATATAATCTGAGAAATTACTTGTATTGCTGCTACTCTCATCAGATTCTCTAACTGCAACTACACAAGGCCTGTCTGCAGTTTTGTGATCACACTCTGCACCTGCCATGTCCTCCATACGTGCCTTGCTGGCGGTGTCACAGCCATTCTTAAACCCGTTATCTATGCCCATTTCATGAGCAAGGACAGCTGTATCAGAAGGTTCATACTTTACACACAACTCATCAGCAGAGCTGTCACTCTCGCATTCTCTAGTCACTGTTGGATCAATAATGCCATTTGTGCTCTCTAACTTGCTGACTATAGCCATTTTAAGAGAAATGTTATCCACAGTCTCAGGAATGGAATCTACACCTTTCTGATACAAGGCAGACTCTGGAGTGTTGACTGCATCCTCACTCTCAGCTTCAAAGTCTATAAAAGTTGGCTCAGCATCATCATTTGGACCTCCAGGAACAGAAACTGCAGAGATGCTCCCAGAACTGAGCTTTGACACTCCATCTGAAGTTTCCACACTGCATGGTGCAGTTTCAGAATCAGAACTTAGCGTTACTGGCATAGCCATACCCTCTGGTTTCAAGGGAGTGGTAACAACTTGAGGAAACTGGGAGACCAACTCCACTACTTTGGTCTCAGTTTCAATTCTGCTTTCCAAATTTCTATTTACACGAATTTCTCCACTGAAATCACAAAGTCCTATGTTCTGGAATGGTCTGTTTAGAACCTGAGCATCACTGACTTCTGAGTAAGACTTCAACGGAAGCACCTCCTGGTGTCCCATCTCTCCTGCAGTTGGAACTCCCAAACACTCCATTTCCTTTGGTTTAAAAAGTCTTTGTAGAGGTATACTAGATATAATCCCAGCACTGGGGGCTCTGTGTTGATGCTCTTGAGATGAGGCTTCTTTGGATTCTTTAGGTCCTCTCTTAGCACAAACCTTATCTTTATTCTTTTTCTGAAGGCACCTGTCTTTCCTTAATTTTGATGAAGATCTCTTGCCTTCCCTACTGTCACACTCCTTTCTATCAGAGTGGCCACTTAGTCTGTGAGACTCAGGTTTATTTCCAGAGATCTTCTGGGGAAGACAACCTTCAGGAGGCCTACAGCTTTCTTCCTTGTCACCTGCCTTAAGGACCTCTGTACCCCTTCGCGCTTTAGGTACATAAAGTGCCATGTCAGGCCTCTTGGTTCGAGCTCTGCATCTCTCTGCTTCTTGCTGCATGGCACCACTTCAATCTGAAAGAAAATGAAAGATTTAATAATAAAAAACTAATTATAATGTATTGAACCAAAAAAATTAAAGAGTGGGTAGAGGGCCTACCAATCTACTCTATAGCAATCATTGACATTTTAAAAAAAAGCAAAATCTGCCATAAAATACTTAATTCGATCACACATGTAAGGAAAGTAAATCCCCAAAGCCCCATGAGGTCACAGACTTTATCAAAAGACACTCTTTCTTTTGATCTTCAAAACCATTCACCCTACTTTTCAAGTTTTCTCTTTTTAAACAAGTAATTTTGCCTTACTTTGAATTTAAAAATAGATCCTATGAACAGTGATGGTCACCACCTCCTCATAAAGAATAATCATCTCCATGTTCTAAAGCTTAGACTTCTGCTATGAGTGTATTTTCAAGGAGGATCTCAAAAGCCTACAACTGTCAGCATAAATACACACACACACACACACACACACACACACACACACACACGAGAGAGAGAGAGAGAGAGAGAGAGAGAGAGAGAGACTTGAGTGACAGTTGCACAATGAAGCAACTGATTGAGGAATTCTTCCTAGAAAACAGTATATTTGAATCATGATATAGCTGAAAAAAGGTAAAATCTAATCATTACACTGTGTGTGTGTGTGTGTATGTCACACTGAACTTTGTAAATATTCATATTCCTTTGTATCAACAAAACAAAAATACAATGTTAAAGAAAAATGTAATTTTTAAAAAAACTTTAGGACAATCATCCCTGATCTAAAAACTCAAATTTCAAAACGCAAAACTTTTGGAATGATGTGTCAGCACTCAATATTGGGTTTTGGAGCTTTCAGAACTAACTGTTCCTGGATTAGCAATGTTCAACCAGTAGTCAATATACCAACATTTTAGGACTACAAAAAACCTCACAAACCTCTGAAATCTGAAATGCTTCTACTGTGAAGCATTTCAGATAAAGGAAACCCAGCTTACGATATTATTCATGTAAGTGACCAACTCTGAGCTTTCTCTGCTTCCAGCAGTAATAATAAGAAAAGATCCAAGCAGGAAGGAGGAGGCTGGAGAACAGGAAAACTCTGATGAGCCAATTCATACTAGTAATCCCCGGCAACCTCCACTATGGTTTTCAAAGAACTAATCAGAAATTTGGGAAAGAATGAATAAATATTTTTCTGTTATTACTAAGTACGAGGAAACCTGCTAGGCACATTGGAGTACTCTTAATTTTCAAACTAGTGCTGTGAAGTACAAAAGTCTTAGGATAAAGAGAAAAAAGGAGTCCATAACAAATCCATATATATCCTCTATTATTTTATAACATTATTTTAGAGGCGAGATACGAAAAATGAGGGAAAACCTGTCACTCCTGTTCACTCTATCTTAGATTCCTAAGAAGTCATCTGATCCAGAATATTCTTCATTGATGACTCACTGCAGGGTTTGTTTATGTTTTCTTTTTAAGCCCAAAAAAACACCATGATCAAGTATCTCCAGTGATGTTTTTATTTCTGAGAGTCTCAGTATGTATCCTAGGCTTACCTGAAACTTGGTATAGCCAAGGCTGACCTTGAATTCAAGATTCTCATGCTTTAGCCTCCCCAGTGACACCTCAATATATTTAGCATTTCCTCTTCTACTAAAATATTAGTACTTAGTTAATTGTGTGTGTGTGTGTGTGTGTGTGTGTGTGTGTGTGTGTGTGTGTGTTGTGTGCACACATGTGCATGCATGTGGAACTTGAACTGATTGTCAAGCTTGGCAGCTAGAACCTTTATGTGATGAGCCACCTAGTTGAAGTCCCTTTGCTATTTAGAACTCTTAGTATCTGGTCCAACACTGTTCATAGATTTTCTATTATTCTGAATGTGGGAGAACATAATTTTTTAAATGTATTAATTTATTCATATGTATATATATGTGTAACATACATGAACATTACAAAGTACACATGGAGGTCAGAGTTGGTTCTTTCCTTCCATGATGTGGATTCTGGGGACTGAACTCAGGTTGTCAGTCTTGGCAACAAGTACCTTTACCCACTGAGCCATTTTGCTGGCCTATGATTTTAATAGTGATCCAAATTTCAAAAAGGTCTAAGTTTCAAAGAAACTCTAAGGTACATGCATCCCACTTGAAGGGATGCCATTACTGTGTGTCAATTTCAATTAGGAAAGTGCCTATCCTTATATACCATGGCAAATTTCTGGGCAGAAATGGGCAGATTTGGGATAGCTGAAATAACTTGTAACTCATTTCAATTGATTAAATAACAGAAGTAATGATAACGAATAGAAGTAAATTTACAAGGAGAGGGTACAGAACAATATGGATTTTCATCCCCACGGTCCTTTCAAATTTAACATTTTATATGGCAATCAGATACATACAATAAACAAAAAGTACAAAAGAAATACCCAACTGACACAAAATTGATGGGGTTAATAAAGACAAAAAATGATGAAATTATAATTCAGCATCATTTTAAGAATCTGAAATATAATACTAAAAGCAACATGAAAGCAACAGACAATAAATACAATGATCTGTTTGGGATTAAAACAAAATCTAACAGAAGATTTACTTCTGTAAAATCTACCCAAAGAAGTTACCTGAAGGCTTCTATTTCAGCCATGAGGTCAAGCAAAGCCAAACGTGATGAGGAAGTTTTAAAAGCAACACACTCTTCGCACGGAGGGGGAAGCACATACTATGCATAATTAGGAGAACGAAACGAGGGACACTTCTTGCTCAAAAGGGTTTAAATGAAGCATCACTGCTAACGTGACACCTGCAGACCAGCCACTCTCCATAAGGGACATTATCGTTCCACATGTCTATATGTCTGTTTCTCCAGAATCAACTGGCAGAATTTAAAAGCAACAGTCTTAACTCAATGTAAGAAAAAGCAAAGCAAAGCAAAATCCTGTATTTATAGATTTTTTCCAATGCTGTTTTCAGGTAATGTTGTTTCCAGTAAAAACTAAGTACATCTAAATGACTGGCATATACTAGAGAAAACATTTCTATTTATAACAAAGGTGGTCTAACTTTAAGCATCTTTCAAATTCTAAGTCATAGTACTATCTCTAATCTGTAGCAAGACTATTAAGAGTTCCCAAAACATGTACTTTAAAAATGTATGCTATAGTGATGGTTTCCAAAGTAATCCCTTTTCCTTAATGATCATATATCACAATAATGATATTTCTTAAATCAGAATAGCAATATTATATCACCTATTTCCTGTCTAAATGCTAAATTCAATTGGGCCATAACAAGCAATGTGATGGTAAATTACCAACAAGCTCAAGGTATATTTCATAGTGTTGGCTGTTTCTACCAATGATATCTACAGTGACTCCTTTGCTCAAGTGCATAACTAGTCAGAATAATGGAAGAGTATATCTTCATTCTTTAAGCTGACACATTTACATTAGTAGTGTTTTCATTGTTGTAAGTCTAGACAGTCAATAAGTAATAAAGGCCTGATTAATGGCATCTGTCAATCTCTGCAGTTAGTAATCTTACTGTGGATAATTTCAAGCTACCAATGTGGCATCACTGAACACAAATTTGGGGAAAATTGTAAAGACATATACTAGTCTTCACCTATAGAGATATATGATACACTGTAACTTCCAGAGCACAGAGCATAAGCAGTTGTTACATATTTACTAGTAAGCCTGTGTGCTTGGATTATGGGACCTGGGGAGATGGCTCAGACGTGAAGTACCACTTGCCATGTAAGCATGAGGATCTGGGTTCAACCACAGCCCTCACGAAAGGGAGGGGAGAGCTACGCCTGGTGGGCCTGTGCCTGCAACCCCAGGGCCAGGGAGGCAGACAGAAGGATCTCAGTCAGTGAGCATAACCAACAAGCTCTAGATAAAGTGGGACCTTGTCTAAAAAATAAAGTGGAAAGCCACTGAGACACCTGAGGTCAACCTCTGGCCCCCCACACAAGTCCACACTTGCACACACAAAACTCTTCATCCGGGTAAGTTATTCACAGCATACGTGTTCTTTCTTCCACTCAGCTCTTCCCATACAGTTTAGCTGGCTGGAGAGATGGCTCAGAGGTTAAGAGCACCGACTGCTCTTCCAGAGGTCCTGAGTTCAATTCCCAGCATCCACATGGTGGTTCACAACCATCTGGTATGAGATCTGGTGCCTCTGCTGGTGTGCAGATATACATGGAAGCAGAGTGTTGTATACATAATAAATAAAATCTTAAAAAAAAAAGTCTTTGTAATTTTGAAAGAGTTCTTACTAGCTTAATTGAAGAAAAGAATTATTCTACATTTTGCAACTTATTTAGCCCACAAAGACTAGCAATTTTCAATTCTGTTCAGAATTACATTTTCTAAAGGGGTATGAAGCCAGATTCCTTTTTGATAGACAGCAACTAATTACTAAAATATATCTTTGAAACAATTCTGGCCAAATTATTTTCTCTGTAACCTTTGTACACTGGGACTACACTGCAGTACCTTTCCAACTGCTTTTACTGTTTTAAAGTTCTCTTGAGAAAAAAATGTTAGTAACTAAGTACCTCTCTGATCTATTCTCATAAGAACATAAATAACACAAAGTAATCACGCTTTAACGTTTTTACAACAGGTCTACACTGCTTGCCCTGTATGTTATCTAAACATACACAGCTCTTCAATCAACAACAGGGCATTAGCCCTTTAAATACTCAATACCCCATGAATTGACTAGCCTCAGGATTTTAAAAAGGCTCATTCAGAGTACCTAATATTGGAAGAAATAATCTAATGGGCATATAACTATGCTTTTCGGACAAATTCTCTACAATTCTATTACTTTGCTGGTTCATGTAAATGTATCATAACTAAACCATGTATGTTGTCTCAATATATTTATGGGGGGAAGGTGTCAATGTTTATCTCAGGCTGGCCTTGAACTCACTATATAGTCTAGACTAGTCTCAAACTTGAAATCCTGCTTCAGCCTCTCAAGTGCTGGATTCACAAATGTGCCA